TACAAGGGCAATTCAGAAATAAATCTCCATTTGGTTATCCATGACAGATACTCGCAAATACCGAACTTTTATTATACACATTAGAAAACTACAACCCTACATTACATGTCAACATACTGTAATCGCTATTCAAATTGAGGCACTTGTCATAATGTCTTACAAGGTTTGAAATTCCTCAGTAGTCACTTGGCACCAAATCTGGGCTATTGGTGTGTGTGTGTGTGTGTGTGTGTGTGTGTGTGTGTGTGTATGTGTGTGTGACCAAAACACCCCAACGGAACTGCTTCAAAAGTTCTTGGGTGCATCTAGCAGTGTGTGGGTGAGCATACTGTGAATCAATGCCACATCGGAAGTGGTGCCATAGAAAATCCAGCCAAATGTGAAGATGGCAAAGGAATACTGCTAGTGAAGTTCATGGAGCATGGTTCAACCATCAATTCAGAAATCTACTGTGAAAGGTTACGAAAACTCAGACAAGCCATCCATAACAAGCGTCGGGGCATGCTGACTTCCAGTGTGGTGTTGGTTCACAATAATGCTCGCCCACACACTGCTAGATGCACCCAAGAACTTTTGAAGCAGTTCTGTTAGGATGTTTTTGATCACACACACCCCCCCCCCCCGCATAGCCTAGATTTGGCGCCAAGTGACTACTACTAAGGAATTTCAAACCTTGTAAGACATTATGACAAGTGCCTCAATTTGAATAGCGATTATGTTGAAAAGTAATGTAATGTTGTAGTTTTCTAATGTGTATAATAAAGTTCGGTATATATATGAGTGTCTGTCACTGATATCCAAACAGAGGTTTATTTCTGAATTGCCCTCGTATTTACACCTACCAACTGAAATTCACATTCCTGTGAAGACTCTAACATAAGTATCCCCCATTATCTCAGAAGTGAGCCATAGAGTTGTAAAACAAATTCAAGGTTTTAAATATATTAATATTCAGAATATTTACAGTCTTCTATCCTTCCAAGGTCAGTAAAATGAGGATCTAGATTATTGGGGGCAATATGCTGATGTTGTAAACTGCTTAGAGAGGGCAGTATATAAGTCTAAGTGCTATTGCTATTTATGATTTTACCTTTAGAATAATGTGAAACTAGTGTTAACAATTTTCAAAAGCAGGACAGATGATATATTAGGGAATGAGAATGGATCCTAATTTATCTTGATAAAACTTCATAAGTTTTAGTGCCCTTTATTAGTGAGAAGAATAGGGATTCATATGGCTACACTGATTGCACATGTTGTAATTTAATAAATTTAAGATGAATTACTTTTCTGAAATATCAATAACATGAAAGAGAGATATTCAAAAAAAAATCTCTGTGGGCAATGGGAAATGTTACCCTCATGAAGGCCACAATGTGAAAAAAGTGATTAAACAATTTAAATGACAATAGAGAGTTCACGAGGAGAGGTATTTAATTATTTCTTGAAGAGATCACTACAAGAAAAAGAAATGAAATTATGTTTTTCATTTATACATTGGAATGAAGCTGTCTGGCCACTGGGTGTCATCCTTGATTCAAATGAGGATTAAAGACTTTCCAGAAGCAGCATATCACCAGCAGCTTCTACAGCAGTTAAATTCTACTCTATTTGATTATACAATATAAAGCAAAATGTTCTGCATTTAAATCAGCTACAAAATGGAATACTATGACATAGACAAATTCAATTTTGTCTCAATGCCTTACCAGTGACCAGTGATATTGGTGGAAAATAAAAAGAAACAGATAATAAGAATCTTGAACATTAGGAACTAATATGCCAAATCTGAAGACCAATCTTTTATCTATAAATAAACATTAAATAGGCTAATTTGGAAGACTGCAAGTATAAACCATTTTAACTTCATTTTTTTCCCTAGAGTTGACTTTTGTGCTGTAATTCTCTCTGATATATTGAGAATGCAGGCTATATAACATTGATGGCACCGTTAATGTTGTTCTGTATGTGAATAATTGTACTTTATTGGTTGAATTTTGACATATGAATGAATTAAAGGTTATTCCCCTTTGTAAACCTAGAATCAAAACCGAAAAGTCCTTACACTGAAAGAGCAGAGCATTGGTCATTTTTGCTAATGCAGTAGAGGATTATCTCCCTCACGATTCTAAAGCATTCCTTCAATTTGCTATTAAACAGCATAAGGAAGTGGGAATCTGCAAAAAGACCCTCACAATTCTTTCTCTACCATCCTCAGCACTCTACCGAGCATTAAATCTGGATTCAGCCCTTTGTATTTCATTATATTTTGTTTTCTGTATCGATGACCTAGTTTTGTTTCTTAAAGATTGCACATGCTGTATCTACAATCCCGTGAATGGCATTACTGTACTTTTAGAAAACATGAGGAAAATAAATCCTTGTTTCTCTAGCTGAAAGCTAGTTTCCTATATATAGCGACAAACTTTTACTGCTTCTGCCCAATTCTCTTGGGATTGTACAATCAGAAGGGCTACCCCTTACAACATATTCTCCATGGAATATTGTAAGTATCATAACCATAGAACTGAATAGCTGCTCTCACATTAAAGCTGTAAGAAGAATTATTATGCAAAATAATAAATTTCACAGGGAGAGGGTATGTGCAAATTTCAGAGGTTATCCTATTAATTATGTTTCATTATGATTCATGTCATGAATGTTTAGAATGTGAATACTATAATCCTACATCACAAGTTGGGGTGCAAAAGGAATTGTCTCCTGTTTTTTCTTGATATCAGGGGATTACATAACAGGTATGAGCATATCTTGGTTAATAAACTGAGGAAAAGGACACATACTGCAACACTCTAACCCTTTTTGTCATTCTAATGTTTACCTAGGAGTGAAGAAAAAAAATGGGATATGTTATCCTGGAACAAGGCTTTGAGAGAAGCAAGAAATGCTAGCACATATTTTACTATAGCTATAATTTCCTGGTTGTGTGCACATTTACCATGTCAGGTGTGTGGCTTTTTAAGTGCCATCAGACAAGATCACAACAACCTCAAGGCAGCAGACCGTCTTTCTCTCTTGTGTTCTACGAAACAAAGAATTTCCGTGGCTTTGCCCAAAGTCTTTTCTTCCCATATCCATTTCACCCCTACAATTTTAAACATGAACAATATACCACAGTTCTATCCTACACATTTGGGAAAGTGGGGCTTCTGAGCTTCACTTCCAGGAACACCAGCGTGATGGGGAAAAAGCTAAAATTATTGTTACATTGCGGTTGTTATCACAGCTGTAATCTTAACAAATCAGGTCCCATTAAAACAAAGAGTATTTAAGGAAAAATGGGAGGCTATATTAACTCCTGTTTGGTGAACCTCCCCCCACTCCACAAAGTCTATACAGAATAGAGAAAGTGGTCTTCCTGATCAAGTATTTCTACAACTATTGGCATCTACTGCACTTTGATTCAAGCCAGATGAATAACAAGCTGATTTTTCATGGTAAGTAAAAACACAACACTCTGATTAGCAATGTACTGTACACAGGCAGTCCTCACTTAATGGCCACTTGTTCAGTGCCTGTTCAAAGCTGATGGTGCTAGGAACGAGTGATCACCCATGTGATCACAATTCAGGCACTTGGCAACCAGATCGAACTTAACAATGGTTGCAGTGTCCTGTAGTTACAGTTTGCAACTTTCCCTGCTCACTTCCCAGAAAAAGTCAACTGGGAAGCGGGCAGGGAAGGAATCATTCCAGTTAAGTCTTCCCCCCACCCCAGGTCTTCCTGAGCACTGCAACGTACCCTCCTTTACAGGCTTCCTTACACTCACATGGATCCATGCCCTCTTTCTTCAGCCTCCCTGAAGCCACAAGCATCCATACCATCTTTTCCTCGGCCTCCCCATGCTTGGACCGACTCTTCCTTCCCTTGGCCTTCCTGTGCTTGTGCACACCTATGCTCTTGCCTCCTTGGTTTTCCTGCGCTTGCGCTGCACGGCAGTAACCTCTCTCCCAACTCACATGCTGCTTTCATTAGGCTTCCCCCATGCTCCTGGGGCAACACCGCACTCCTTACCTGAAACTCTCACTGCTTTCCACTTAATGACCCACACATCTTGGGGTTACAAAGGCAATCTGACTGCCGGGATTGCTGTTGTTAAGCAATGTGGTCATGTGATACTGTGCTTTAAAATACTATCAGCAACAGCAATCACTGTGATCCCAATTGCCATCCTAGCCTGAAGATGTGCAGCAGAGAATAGCTGAACTTCTACTAAGCTTATAAAAATTAGGCTGTCTCTGACTCTCTATATTAAAATGGTTCCCACGTACCAATGAAGGAGAATATTTGTAGCTCAGGCCTGAAATGAGGGGTCCTTGTTGCTCTCTGAGCTTGTTTTCTTGAAGACATTTCATTACCCTAACTAGGTAACATCATCAGTGTCTCTGTTCAGAGAGCAACATGTTCACCCATGTTCAAAACGGTATGATCTTCCTGCAACTGAAAAGTAATCTGAGTTTATCCGAATGCTTGAGCATTACATAATATTGTACGGTCACAGAATCATTCCAGAAAGTTTTACACTCCCTTAGAATGATATTGCAGAGTAGGAAGCCTAGATCTTCACTCATATCTTTCTTCTCTGTGCAATTCCTTAGAACAATATTGCGATTGCGTAATGTTTTGCGATTGCATGACTACTTCACAAAATGCTTGTTTTCAAAAGACTGTCGTACAGTCTTTTACGACTGCGAACGTGTGGAAGATATGCTTTGTGAGAAAGAGTAAGAGAAAGAGAGGGAGAGAGACAGAGAGACAGACCTTGGCACTTCATGAAACAAATTCTTTTACCACTTTAAAAATGCAGTTTTTAAAGAAATTCTTCCATTTTTCACCCAAAAGGCAGGAAAAATATGCCTCCTTCATAGGACCAATCATAACCCATGGAAATGTGTGGCTTACATTTATCAACTTTTTTGTAAGTAGATATCACATGAATTCAGCAAAGATTATTACAGCATATTGTCAAGGAGTATACTTACGCCGGTTTCATAGACTTGGAATGTTTCTCATGAATGTAAGCACCAGCTAGACCCCCAGCTCCAGAATTCAGGTACTGTAAGATGGAATTCCTCATTTAAATATTTCTTGATTTTATCATGCAGAGAAAGCAAAACAAGCTCCCCCCCTTTTTGGAGAGTATTGTTATACTGTGATGTAAATGTGATCTAAATAACTATGAACGGGGAATAGGTTGTTGCTGTTCAGTCACTGTGTCTGACTCCTCACCGCCCCATAGACCACAACACGCCAGGCCCTCCTGTCTTCCACCGTTTCCTGGAATCCACCCAAACCCATGCTCACTGCGCTGATTACCTTATCTAAACATCTCATCCTCTGAAGCTACTTGTAATTGCCCTCCACTCTTTCCCAGCAGCATATTGGACATCTTTCAACCTCAGGGTCTCATCTTCCAGTGTCATATATTTTAGTCTTTTAGCCTAACCCTACTATCCATGGGTTTTTCTTGGCAAGGATACTGGAGAGGGTTGCCATTTCCTTCTCCAGTAAACCAGGTTTTATCAGAGTTCTCCACTATGAACTGCCCATCATGGGTGCATGGCATTGCTCATAGCTTCTTTGAGCTGTACAAGCCCCTTTGCCATGACAAAGCAATGATCCATAAAGGGACCATCTTTTAAATTTCTAGCCATTTCATACATTGAGAAAGAACATTTAAAATGGATCCTTCAAGTGCTGCTATGCATCAGTAGAATTTTTATTTCATACTAATTTATAGAAAGTTCTCTCACTCTCATTTTTGGAGCCGTATTTCTATTTTTGCATCTATTTTTACTGATAATCACTTTATCTAACTGCACTATTCATTATAAATCCTACATGTAAAATATACCGAAAGTTGTGTGACATAAATAATGGGGTTGTCCTCTCTGACATTTAACCAACTGTTCCATGTTGGCTCTGAGTTTGTGCAAGAGCAGCTGAAATTAATTACTACTAATTCTCTGGAATGATAAATATATGCTCACCTTGTAGGAACACCAGCAAGCGAAATCAACTCCCCACTCGTGTAAATGTAATTCTACATTTCCAACAGCATGGGCCAGGTCAAATCCAACAAAGCAGCCCTTTTAGACAAATAAATATCATCATGTTTCTTTTCATTTTTTTAATGAACTTTTTAAAAATATACTTTGACAACTTTTACACAATTGTTAAGAACTTAAATATTTAAAAACAGGCATATAAGCCTTGATGACTTGAACTTAGAAACAGATGAGGTAATGTCCCAAAACTGTGTTGTTTTTTTTTTTCAAATGACAAAAACATTTAGCTTCTCTGAACCTAATATTATGGACCTGGGAGTCCATGTTGGAAGAAAAAGGCTACCTATCTTTATGTCTGTCTAATTTTCATGGATCCAACAACCTGTGTTTTTCATTTATTTTGAAATATTTCTAGCATTTCCATATTGTGAAAACATGTTCACCCCAAATTGGAAATAAATTAAGAAATGTGTCATAAAGTGTTAAAAATTCAGTTTAGTATATTTTTTTCCATGAGTTCTGTATACATTTCACTTCTGAAACTGGAAGTCCATGTAAGACACAAGCTATGGTTTATTTATATAAATTGCCACTTGATGGCAGTATGTTTAAATAGAAAAACAGTAACAGAAAAATAAAGTACTGAAAAATATAGTACATTTTTTTGTATGGACTGCACACTGAAGAATATTTTACATATTTTTTAAAAGCCTTTATAAGTATGGTGGGAGGATGAACAGCAAGGGCATAAATTCTCAAATCTTTTCTCAAATAAGAACACAAAGACTTGGAAACTTTGGCTTCTGTCTTTTTCTCCATCTAAATTATTAAAACTGTATTTCAATATATTAACTCTACTTGGCTGTATTTCACTCTCTGAAAATAATTGCATTTATAAGTGAACACACTAATTCTAATGAAGCCACTAATGAGGCTGCCAGCATACAAAGTCCTTTCAGGGTGAAAGGACAAACTTGCAGACTGTGTAAGTTTCAAAATAAAGCTGAGAATGATAGATTTTAAAAAATACAAGTAGGAAAATTAAACACTGCTGTGTGCTAATGGATTTTTTAAGCCAGGATTCTTTGCCATCAATAGAATGGCATTTTTTTTCCAGGTTGTCGGTTTCTCCAAGAGAGGAATTCCAGTGGTTTTCAACCCCTTTTTATTTTGGTGTGTGTGTGTGTGGGGGGGGGGGGGGAGCTTTGTGGATATTAAAGGTAAGGAACATTGAGTGCTGAATGTCCCAAATGCTTCATATTGCCATTCTCATCCTTGTTTTTGCAAACCTTGCTACTGAAATTCCAGTACCGTTTTGGGTTCTTTAGTAGTGGTACTTGAATTTCTCTTGGTTCTATCCTTAAATTTGCCTTGGTATTAATTGAGACATTAACTAGTAAGAGACGCTCTGAATTAATTAACTAATTAAATTGACCTTGCGTTAAAATGGAAGTATTTAGAATGTATCACAAGGATTTTTAACAATAGAGGAAACCTCAGGATTAACAATAATATTTACCAATAGCTCATATGGAATAGATTTGCTAGTCACCAGGGAAAGAAATTTATAAGAAATTTAATATAGTTCATGTCAGGATTAAATTGAGCAGGGCTATTTGTTAAATATTGTCAGGAAAGAGGAATAACCCAAAAATTCTATCCAATGATAATAAATCTATTTGGGATAATAAAGTAGTTCTGATAGAACAGAATATTTGTAGCTGAGGGTTGAACTATAAATAAAGCAACTGTTCATCTCTACATCTATAAACTATTTACAATTTACAATGAAATTGAGAAATAAGAGGAAGGCAGGCAGGCAGGCAGGCAGGCAGGAAGATAAATGATTATAAAGAATAAGAAGATGAGATAAATCAGAAAGACAAGCTCTGAAGCTATACTAGCATGCCTTCCTGTTAAGCAATCCTACACAATTTACAGCAGGGGTGTCAAACTCGCAACATCATGTGACGTGTTGCGACGTATTGCAACTTTTTTTCCATTGCCAGCAATGGGGTAGGTGTGGTTTTGGCATGACACATCCGGCCCACGGGCCGGCAGTTTGGCACCTCTGATTTACAGGGAAACAGAACCTGTAACAAAAGCAACACAATTGGATGGTTGATGGGATGTGGTTGAAACTAAACCAGCTGCATAGTAATGCCTAGAGAACGAGATCTGACCAGAAAGTGTTGACTGAGTTATATAATAAAGAAATAATCTGAGATGATTTTTCAGGCTTATTTACTTCATTTAATATTTCACAGTGAAGATGTCTACATGTAGTTACCACTACACTGGAAAGAAACTCAAGAAATTGATTTGAAAAAATAAAAATAAAATAACTTAATTAGAAAATATTTCTCAATGAGCGACAATGATATTCCTTAAATTCCTCAGTGTAAGAGGAGCCTCTGTATCACATGTCTTTGTTGACTACCACCACCTCCTCCTCCTCCCCCACTCCCAGATTCAGCACAAGGGCTAATGCAAAACAAAATTGCAGCATATTCCCACTCTCATTTGGAAATATATATGAGAGATATTTATTTCTTCAAGGCTGGCCAGTTGATTTTCATAATATTAGATGCCTCTAGAATATATAATGCACAGGGACATGCATAGGGCAAATGGAAAATAAACAAAACACTGTGTTCCAAGCATGGCTAGGCCAGCCTTAGAACATTTACAAGTTGGTTGTGTTCTGATTGAAAATACAAGCATGCCTATCATTCTATCCCCTGGTACTATGCAAAACACAGAAAACAAATAAGAAATAATAAACCAAAGAGATTACAATCATGAAATACATCAACAAAAAATGAAACAGGCTGAATCTAGTCTGACATCATCACTATTTATACCTCTCCCTGAGCTACTATCCTTGCAAACCATCCTTTCTTCCAACAGGTCCATACAAGTTCACACTTCTCTTTTTTAGTGATATCATTAACCCAAGACTTTCTTGGTTTTTCCCTACTCTTCACTCATTTATTCTTCCTTCATGTATTTGTTTTGAGATTTAATCTTCATTTATCACAAATTTTCTCTAAATCAACACATTGGAATTCTCCTTAACAAAGTTAACAACTAATTCCTCTGTAGTCTTGGCATTCACTCTTGCTACGTTTACCTTTGCACAGAAGAACAATAATCATATTCTTCTGTCAAGGTGTTTGATCTTCTTTCAAACACCTTAAAACAAATCACACAACCATTCAAATAACAGACCACTTCCATATTTTAATAATAATTCTGACTTTGGCTGTAATAAATGATTTAATAATTCCCCAGTTACCTATCTACAACTTAGCTTTTAATATTTTTACATTTATGATATCCTTTTTATTAGTTTTCTTCTTTTGCTGTTGTTGTTGTTTAGTTGCTAAGTCATGTCTGACTCTTTGTGACCCCATGGAGCACAGCACGCCAGCCCCTCCCCATCCTCCACTGTTTCCTGGAGTTTGCCTTGTTCATTGCATCAATGACACTATCTAACCATCTCATCCTGTACCATCCCCCTCTCCTTTTGCCTTCAAACTTTCCCAACATCAGGGTCTTTTCCAGTGAGTCTTCCCTTCTCATTAGGTGGCCAAAGTGTTTGAGCTTCATCTTCAGAATCTGTCCTTCTAAAGAACAGTCAGGGTTGATTTCCTTTGGGATTGACTGATTTGATCTCCTTGCAGTCCAAGGGACTCTTAAGAGTCTTCTCCGGAACCACAGTTCAAAAGCATCAATTCTTCGGCACTCAGCCTTCCTTATGGTCCAACTCTCAAAGCCATACACTGGGAAAACCATAGCTTTGACTATATGCTTTTGTTGGCAAGTTGATGTCTCTGCTTTTTAATATGCTGTCTGGGTTTACCATAGCTTTTCTCCCAAGGAGCATCTTTTAATTTCAAGGCTTTTTTTTTTCTTCTACACTAACATTTACACTATTTATTTCAATTCCATGCTTCAATATGCCACTATTATTCTCATATAAATCTCTGTATGATATTCCTTCCAGTCCAAATTATTTCACCATTTTTACTTTCAGTTCTATTCACTCAACTGGAAGCTCCTTGATCAGACCTCTTTATCCACTTTATATATATATATTAGTTTTCACCAAATAACTTTCAGTTTTCTATGCCTCTTTTAGTCTTAACCATTTTCCTTGCTCTCCTTGACTTACTCTTTGTCACTTTTTCAGCTATACACATTATGTAACATCTCTCTCACCCTCTATTTTGCATCTTATAGGTGTTTTGTCCAAGAATCTTTTATTTGTTTCTTATTTCCTATTATCATTAACTCCACATGTTCCTACTGCACAATGGAACATGAGATTTTCATCTGTTCCAAGCAGCTTCCACATCCTCTTGCTTTGCATCTATTTTCCATTCATTGCACTGAAAGAGCAAGTAACCTTCTAATATATTTCCCTACAGAAGAAATTCTTTTTTTACTGTTGTTATTCAAATTTCAACCTAATTTCTTTCATGTCTTTTGTTGGAAAGGTATTCAAACAAACAACAAAAAAAGAAATAATGAAATAGACTTTTTGAGTGAAAGTTTTTAAAAGTGTCCATGGAACTGAGCCCAAAAATGAACCAACAAAAAGGACCTATTTCAATGCAGCTCATACTAATTTAAACAATAAAAAACATATTTTTCTACTCTTTTTTAAAAAAGAGACTGTACAACCATGTATCTGAAATGGTATAGAGCAGTGATGTCGAACGTTTTAGAGACCAAGTGCTCAAAACCTGTCCCCCGCCCCGCCTCCTGTCCTGCCTGTTCCGCCCCCACTCGCCCCCTGCTCTGCCCACCCACAGGGCTATGCACTGCCTCAATGGCTCGCCGTAGCAGATCACCCAGGCAGCCCTGCAGCGCCATGGCAGCCACACCCTCCACCCACACCCCGCAGCATCATCTGCACGCTATGGAGCGCGAGGCCGGAATCTTGTCCCTGCTGCCCAGCTATGTCCTTGGCTGCGTTGCTCCATGCAGGCCACGCCAGGGGGCGACTCTCCTCCAGGGGGGCTTCTGGAGAGGAGGGGACCACAGGGCTAGGGCTGGGGCAATGGCGTGCGCGC